TTATCTAATGGGTGGAAAGGGGCTAAGGGGAGGAGTCTGTATAGTAGGCGACTTTAACCTTGGCCAAATAGATTGGACTGACCTTACAGGTAACTCAGAATCAGAGGATTTTCTCGAGACGATCCAGGACTGTTTTCTAAGTCAACATATAACCGAACCCACCCGGGGTAATAATATACTCGATTTAGTTCTGTCATACAGAGAAAACCTCATTAGCAATGTCAAGGTAGGGAACGAACTTGCAAACAGAGATCACAAAGAAATTAGATTGCAGTTAGATTTTCAGGGCAGACGTAAGGAAAATTCCACTAAAGTACCAGATTTCAGAAGGGCAAACTTTGACAGTTTAAAGAGGCAGCTGAGAGAGGGGGTGTCACGCTTGGCGGTGAACCTGACAGATGACACCGACCTGATAACGAGATCTGAGATTGCCGAGTTCCACGACAATTTAAATAGTGAGTTACTTAATGCACAAAGGCAGAACATACCATACAAAAAACTCAGATCAGACAACAATGACCCTTAATGGATAAATAATTATTTAAAGAACATCATTGGCCAAAGGAAGGCTATAGGTAGAAGGATAAATCGTGGCGAAATTCACCTCCGGGATTATTATAGGGTATTGGCGAGTAGGGTTAAAACCGAGATAAGGAAAGCCGAGAGGAATAATGAGGTAAGGATAGCAAGGGAGGCGAAGACAAACCCCAAAGGGTTCTACCAAATGTATCAAACTAAAACACGAGAAAAGATTGGACCAATACGGTCAGACACCGGCGAGCTCACTGATAACGACAGAGAAATGAGCAATAATTTGAATAAATATTTTTCAACAGTTTTCACCACCGAAAATTTATACATGATACCCGGGGCACCGACTTATTCAGAGATAGTGAAGAAAACAAATTAAGTGAGATAGTAGTGACTAGTAACGATGTTAGTAAGCAAATAGACAAACTAAAGCCTAATAAGTCACCTGGTCCCGATGAGATATTTGCCAGAGTATTAAAGGAATGTAAGGAAGAGCTTAGTATGTCCTTAGCAAACTTGTTTAACATGTCCTTAAAAACAGGTGTAGTACCAGAATCCTGGAGGATAGCGAATGTAATACCGATTTTCAAGAAGGGGGATAGATCACTATCCTCTTAACTACCGCCCAATCAGTCTAACATCAATAGTAGGCAAATTACTGGAAGCAATCATTTCAAACTCTATTCGAAATCACCTGGAGAAGCACCCATTGATCAATGATTCCCAGCATGGCTTCACAAGCGGACGTTCTTGTCTAACTAATCTATTAACATTCTTTTCATCAGTTTTCGAATAGGTGGACGAGGGGCACAATTATGATGTGGTATATCTCGACTTTAGCAAAGCCTTCGACAGAGTCCCCCACGAAAGACTAATTAGAAAGGTAGAAGCTCATGGCATCAAAGGTGACATCCTTAAATGGATTAGGGCGTGGTTACAGGACAGGAAACAGCGAGTGAGCATTAATGGCACTAAGTCCCATTGGAGCAACGTCACAAGTGGAGTTCCCCAAGGCTCAGTACTTGGACCATTATTATTTATTATATACATAAACGACATAGATATCGGCATAGACAGCAACATAAGCAAATTTGCTAATGACACTAAAATAGGACGTGTTATTAAATCTGACGAGGACTCCACAAAACTACAGGAAGATCTAAAAAAATTTTTCGAATGGTCTGAAAAATGGCAGATGAAATTCAACGTGGACAAATGTAAAGTACTCAGTATAGGAGATGTAAACAGGGAAACCAGATACCAGATGAACAACGATGCCATAGAGAAATCCGACTGCGAGAGAGATTTAGGAGTAATGATAAGTAGGAACCTTAAGCCAAGTAAACAATGTGTTTTTGCTTGTAACAAGGCTAATAAAGTACTTGGGTTCATACAAAGGAGTGTTAGTTACAAGACTAGCGAGGTCATCCTAAAACTGTATCTTGCTCTTGTGAGACCACACCTGGATTATGCAGTTCAGTTCTGGTCACATTACAGAATGGATATAGAATCCTTGGAAAGAATTCAGAGGAGAACGACAAGACTAATCCCGGGCATTAGGAACCTTGAGTATAGAGACAGGTTAAAGCATCTTAATTTGCACTCCCTTGAGAGACGTAGAGCGAGGGGCGACCTGATAGAAGTGTATAAGTGGAAGGCAGGGCTAAACAAAGGGGACATTACAAAGGTACTCAAACTATCCAACCAGTAGCAAACTCGTAACAATGGTTTTAAATTAGACAAATTTAGATTTAGGCGTAAAATAAGTAAACACTGGTTTGGAAACAGAGTAGTGGATGAATGGAACAAGTTACCAAATATCATCATTAACTCGAATACGCTGAATAGCTTCAAACATAGATTGGATGCTTATATGAGCAATAGGGGTTGGGTGTAAACGGGACTGCCCAGTATGGGCCAATAGGGGCGCTGCAGTTTCCTCCATTCTTATGTTCTTAAGAGGACTGGGAAGTTAAATGGCAGGGGAGGTGAGTCAGCTCTCGCCTCTTTTGCTTGACCTTGACAGTGGAAAAGGTGAAATTATTAGTTGGTGTGTGTGTGTGTGTGTGTGTGTGTGTGTGTGTGTGTGTGTGTGTGTGTGTGTGTGTGTGTGTGTGTGTGTGTGTGTGTGTGTGTGTTTGATGCTGACAGGCACTGTATCTCTCTCACACAAATTTTCTTTTACATATTATCTTAAATTCTCTCTCTTTCACACACACAAATTCTCATATAACTCACCCCCCTCTCCCATGCTACCCCCTCTACCTCTCCCTACCACCACCACCACCACCAACCTTCACATTCCTCTTAGCCAGGTGAGTCAACCAGGTAGACAACCATGAAGTAGAACACGTTTACTAGACACCTGTAACATCCTTATACACACACACACAAGCAAACAACCATACACATGCAAACAGACATCACAAGCAGATAACTATATGCACACAAGTACACAACCATACACAAAATCAAACACACACACACACACACACACACACACACACACACACACATGCTAGAGAAAATTATGTGAACCATTGTATACGGGGTCCTTACTCTGCTGAACAAAATCGTCTAACGTTAACCAAATAAAATATCAAAAGTGGCGTCCCCGTAGTGAAGGAGTTACGGGAGATTGTCTACTAAGATACAACAAAAACTAATACTCATTACACATAATCATCTGGTTTATCCCATATGTTTAATGGTTTAGTTTAATATAGGTTGTAGACCCCCCCCCTCCCTTGATCCCTGGGGTCTTGTCTCCCAACACTCACCGATATCACTGTGAACAAAGAACAGCTCCTCAAGAATTTTTGTTAAGTGAAATTTTTGCTTATTTTTTTTACGAGATTTTTGAACAAAGGCACAACTTAGAGGTTCACATGAACTTTAGCCACCCAAGCTTCTTACATGTTATGAATAATCACTCTAACGCTAACCTAACCTATGTCAACAAGTAGCGTTAGGGTGTTTAATCATCAGGTGAAATAAACTGGGGTGGCTGATCTTCATGTGATACACTACAACAACTACCTGTAATTGGGTTTGTGTTGATGTACATCCCAGTGTTTTAATTGGATTGATATTGGTCAAAAGAACGCCATCAACAAACTGAGTCTACGTAAACACATTTCGGATCACGTGAAGAGTAGCCACCCCAGCTTATATCACTTATCAGTAAACACCCTAGGACTAACATAACCTAAGACCCCTAGGTAGCATTAGGGTGTTTAATCATCAAGTGATATAAGCTGGGGTGGCTAATCTTCACATCATCCCACATTTCTCTGTGGCTTAATTAAATGATTTTTGACAAAGAAACTTCCTAAAAAAAATGGGTTAAAGTAAATTTATTTCCCAGTGTTGGAATTAAATTAAAAGAAAAAATATCCTGAATCACTGCAGGGGAGACAAAATCCTGAGGCATTAAGGAGAATTGCTCTGGACCATAACAAAAGAGAGAGAGAGAGAGAGAGAGAGAGAGAGAGAGAGAGAGAGAGAGAGAGAGAGAGAGAGAGAGAGAGAGAGAGAGAGAGAGAGAGAGAGAGAGAGAGAGAGAGAGAGAGAGAGAGAGAGAGAGAGAGAGAGAGAGAGAGAGAGAGAGAGAGAGAGAGAGAGAGAGAGAGAGAGAGAGAGAGAGAGAGAGAGAGAGAGAGAGAGAGAGAGAGAGAGAGAGAGAGAGAGAGAGAGAGAGAGAGAGAGAGAGAGAGAGAGAGAGAGAGAGAGAGAGAGAGAGAGAGAGAGAGAGAGAGAGGGAGAGAGAGAGAGAGAGAGAGAGAGAGAGAGAGAGAGAGAGAGAGAGAGAGAGAGAGAGAGAGAGAGAGAGAGAGAGAGAGAGAGAGAGAGAGAGAGAGAGGAGAGAGAGAGAGAGAGAGAGAGAGAGAGAGAGAGAGAGAGAGAGAGAGAGAGAGAGAGAGAGAGAGAGAGAGAGAGAGAGAGAGAGAGAGAGAGAGAGAGAGAGAGAGAGAGAGAGAGAGAGAGAGAGAGAGAGAGAGAGAGAGAGAGAGAGAGAGAGAGAGAGGGGAGAGAGAGAGAGAGAGAGAGAGAGAGAGAGAGAGAGAGAGAGAGAGAGAGAGAGAGAGAGAGAGAGAGAGAGAGAGAGAGAGAGAGAGAGAGAGAGAGAGAGAGAGAGAGAGAGAGAGAGAGAGAGAGAGAGAGAGAGAGAGAGAAAGAGAGAGAGAGAGAGAGAGAGAGAGAGAGAGAGAGAGAGAGAGAGAGAGAGAGAGAGAGAGAGAGAGAGAGAGAGAGAGAGAGAGAGAGATTCTTCAGGCAAGACTCGGAGTAAAGGAGGAAGATCCCTCTTTGCATGGCGAGCTTTGATGTTGAGAGTGCGACAGAATGGCCAGATGGATCCACCAAAACCTAGTAAGAAGCACGAACGTCTCTAATGCGTCCCACTCCTGCAAGTAAAAGAAAGAAATTGTGTGTGTGTGTGTGTGTGTGAGAAGGAAAATCTGACTTACTGAGTTTTAAACTAGCGTAATGAAGCCAGGAGATGGGGTAACGTATGCCAGGAGAAGTTTCCACACCTAAGTTCATACAGCTGGATGGAGGTGACTGCTAGACGCTGCTGACTGCTCGTACTGTCGCTGTTAACATGGGACAAATCCTTCACCTCAAGGGCAGGGCTTTCATAAATATATCTCGGGCTCCTGAGTGTCTTCTGAAGATCCAACGTGACAAACACATCTCAGTCTGAAAGTAAACACATCTCAGTCTGAAAGTACAGAAAAAATTAGTGAAAGAGGTCAAGAAAAGCCATCGAAATCTTACTTTTTTCTATTACACATGTCGTTAGTGAAGCTAATCTCCTGAAATCGTAAAAAAAAAAATTACATGAAATTGTTTGGATCAATAAACTTTCTTGAACACATAATTGTTCTTAAAAAAATCAAATACCCCGAAAAATCTTAGGAAAATTTGAGTTTACGAGATAAATATTCTTGCATGCTCTTGACCAAATGGATTTTAGAGAGGAATAAAGATACAATGAGAAATCGAAGAAAAGATGTATTAGGGAGGTAAAACATGTCGTAAAGTCAAGCAAGTGGAACTTCAAATGTTGCTGTTGATTCATGTAAATACACATCTACTCAGACCCTCTCGGTGAAATTGGCCTGAAGCAGAGCAGAGAACCTGCTTCTACACAAACAAGCCTTCGTCTGATTTCTAAGTGGTTTATTTTCCCTTAAACTGAGAAGAGACAACATACAGTCATGGTTGGGTCTCAGTGTAATTTTAACGCACTTTTGGACGTTATCTTTGTACCGTAGTTTTAAGTGAGCCACTGAGACGAGTTTGTACAACTGCAAATGGAAAAAATTAACGTGTAAAACCTTTGAGAATCCAGGTCTCCCTTTCTCTCCTTTCGTGTGGAAGACCAGAGATCACGTACCACTTAAAGACCTTGTCTGGAGCCTCGCGGAAGTATGGTCCTGGTTTAACAGCTAGTGGTCTGACTGGGGGGAGGAGCGTCTGGTGGTGGTTTCACAAGTGTTTAGTGATATGGGAAGTAGTTTAAAAAGACAGGAGCAGTGGCTTAATTGTGTGGATCATAGTTATAAAAAAAAATATAGGGGAAAAGTCTCGTGTGTTGGGCGGTGGTTTAACAGAGAAGGTGGGCAAGGGAGGAGTAGTAATATGGATAGTTGTCAGAAAGGGTAGGTAGTGGTGTAAGAAATGGGAGGAATGACTTAATAGAATGGGTAGTGGTTTTAACAGTGTGGGACAGACATAAGTGTGGTTACGTGAATAGTTAACTTGAATAGGCAGAGGTTTAACAGTAGGGGTTTAGCGCCTGGTGTCAGTGGGTGATGAGGGAACAAGGTGGGGTGGTTACGTGGGTGCTGGTATAACAGTATGGGGCGACGTCTGGTGTGGTTACGTGGGTGATGAGGGAACAAGGTGGGGTGGTAGTGTGGGTGCTGGTATAACAGTAAGGGGCGACGTCTGGTGTGGTTACGTGGGTGATGAGGGAACAAGGTGGGGTGGTAGTGTGGGTGCTGGTATAACAGTAAGGGGCGACGTCTGGTGTGGTTACGTGGGTGATGAGGGAACAAGGTGGGTGGTAGTGTGGGTGCTGGTATAACAGGCCGGGCGACGTCTGGTGTGGTTACGTGGGTGATGAGGGGAACAAGGTGGGGTGGTAGTGTGGGTGCTGGTATAACATGCACGGGGCCACGCCTGGTGTGGTTACGTGGGTGATGAGGGAACAAGGTGGGGTGGTAGCGTGGTGCTGGTATAACAGTACGGGGCGACAGTCTGGTGTGGTTACGTGGGTGATGAGGGAACAAGGTGGGTGGTGGTGTGGGTGCTGGTATAACAGTACGGGGCGACGTCTGGTGTGGTTACGTGGGTGATGAGGGAAGCGCGGGTGGTAGCGTGGGCGGGTATAACATACGGGCGACGTCTGGTGTGGTTACGTGGGTGATGAGGAACAAGGTGGGGTGGTAGTGGGTGCTGGTATACCAGTACGGGGCGACGTCTGGTGGTTATTACGGGTGATGAGGGGAACAAGGTGGGTGTGGTAGTGTGGTGCTACAGGCAACAGTACGGGCGATGCCCGGTGTGGTTACGTGGGTGATGAGGGAACAAGGTGGGTGGTAGCGTGGGTGCTGGTATAACAGTATGGGGCGACGTCTGGTGTGGTTACGTGGGTGATGTATAACAGTACGGGCGACGTCTGGTGTGGTTACTTGGGTGATGAGGGAACAAGGTGGGTGTAGGGGTGCTAGTGGGTGCTGGTATAACAGTATGGGGCGACGTCTGGTGTGGTTACGTGGGTGATGAGGGAACAAGGTGGGGTGGTAGCGTGGGTGCTGGTATAACAGTAAGGGGCGACGTCTGGTGTGGTTGACTGATGGTTTAACTAGAAGGGGGATAAGTTTAATTAACGTAGTGGTGATTAAAAAAGACAGTGATACAACTAGAAATCTAATATAAATATTTTTACTTGTTTAAATAAAATTTTTATTTATTAATTATATGAAGTTATACTAAATCTAGGGTAACATATACATAAAGAACCTGTAAATAGTTTTTTCACAGAGTAAATCTAAAAAAAAAAATTATTTACTGCATCTATTTGTTTATCTATCAACGGTGGCCTTACGTTTGAAATTCAGAACTATATTATTTAATTTATCTGTATATATAGTATATTATCGACTTAGTGTATATAGTTAAATTTATCTATTCAGTACAGTATACAGTATAGCATATCATATCTGTTGGTGTTTACTAATTTGTTTCTTTGTTGCCAGGGTCTACGTAACTGTGCTCTGAAAGCCTCAATCCCTGCTAGAAGGACACACATACCTTGTGGTTAGTTAAATACCAAGCTCGGCCTTCATTCACGTCCCGACGCCCATCAGTTCTGCCGCGGCTTGTTGGGGGGGGGGAGGAGGGGGGACAGGGTCAGGTGGGGGACAGGGAGAGGTGGGGGAGAGGGAGAGGTGGGGGAGAGGGAGAGGTGGGGGAGGAGTGAATTTGAAAACCTCCGTATATTGACGTCAGGTATGAGTCCTAATTAATCTCTTTGAGGGTTTATGATGTATGAGTAATTACCGAGTTCTAATTGGTTCCTTGAGTATTGACGTCAGGTGAGTGCTAATTGGTTCCTTGAGTCTTGACGTCGGGTGAGTTCTAATTGGTTCCTTTTGTAATGACGTCAGATGAGTCCTAACTGGTCTGCTGCGTGCTGGTCTGTAAAATAAAAACATTTATCAATTTTCGATCAAATTTTTTAGTGAACATAAAGAAAATATCACACGCGAGAGAGAGAGAGAGAGAGAGAGTACGTGCTTATCTGTACACGTTTTATGAGTCTGTTTATGTGAAGGCGTGTGTGCTATTATACGGAGCTGTGTCGTTGTCTAAGGGTCTGTGTAAATCGTGTGCGTACCTGTGTCAGTCTGCGTGTATCATTAACGAGCTCACACACACTAAACAACACCTCGAAGGATAATGAAATTTGGTATGACGGTTAAATCTTCAGAAACTACAAAAGGTCTAAGAAATTAATCCTATTTAGTAACAATGAGATGAAAGTCGACGAAATAAGAATGTATCTTGATGAAATACACAGAAAGAAAGAAAAAAGAAAGAAAGAAAGAAAGAAAGGTGATATACGGACAAAATGTGGAATAAATATTGTCTCCCTCCTGCACAAATCTCTCTTACTGATTACGTGTTGCAGCAAACATCATTATGGCTGGTTATGCAATAATTGATTAAACTCGGTGCGGTCTGCATAATTATTCCCTAACCCACGTAGTTACATATTACTGTTTAGCTGTACAGTTTGTTTTGGCTAATCAGCTTCTGTCGTGGCTTCCGGAGATATGTTTATGCCTGTGGTGATAATCCATTTTTAGACTTCGCACTGTATTCTATTCAACACAGCAAATACAGAATAAAAAAACACATTGGCTATTTTTATCCTGACAATTTTCAGTTTAAATGTCACGATATATATTTGCCGAACACAGGAAATACAATTTACATTTATCAGCCATTGGTTTGTCAGGGAACGTTATGACTGCTTGAATTACTGGCCGTCATCACCAAGAAATGCACGATTGGCCACCACACATGACACTATTCCAGGATTTTATTGATGTATAACAACGCCCAATCTCTCGAGTACATGATGACACTGTTTGTGGTTAGTGCTTTGGAACGCTGAGATTGGCTGATCGGTATGACGAATCAGCATAACGGAGGACGTCATGTCATTGTGTACCGGTGAAGAATTTCTTTGTTCTGCAGTCAACGAAAGAAGTAAACTGAAAAAAAAAATTACAATCTGATTAATACTCAAAAAGTCAAGAAGGTTTCCTCGAACTCCCTCCTCATTAAATACTGGTAAATTGAGCTCACTTCATTAATCATTTTCAGTAAAAAAAAGTATATTTATGTCAGTAGAATACTGTACAGAGAATTCAACATGATAATATATATATATATATATATATATATATATATATATATATATATATATATATATATATATATATATATATATATATATATATATATATATAACATAAGAATGGAGGAAACTGCAGCGGGCCTATTGGCCCATACTGGGCTGTCCCGTTTACACCCAACCCCTATCGCTCATATATCCATCCAACCTATGTTTGAAGCTATCCAGCGTATTCGAGTTAATGATGATATTTGGTAACTTGTTCCACTAGTCCACTACTCTATTTCCAAACCAATGTTTACCTATTTCGCGCCTAAATCTAAATTTGTCTAATTTAAAACCATTGTTACGAGTTCACTCCTGGTTGGATAGTTTGAGTACCTTTGTTATATCACCTTTGTTCAGCCCTGACTTCCATTTATACACCTCTATCATATCGCCCCTCACTCTACGTCTCTTGAGGGAGTGCAAATTAAGATGCTTTAACCTGTCTCTTATCATTTGCGTGGTTAACCTTCTCTGGCTTGAGTGTTCAGTTTGGCCGTTTCGCTATACCTCACGCGTGTCATTTCCTAAAGAAATTATGAAAACACAAATAGTTACAATAAATACGAAGATGAATGATACACTGATGATGTCACTACACGATGACGTCAAGCTCCGACATAAAAAAATATCTAATCTATTAAAAAAAAATATTACTCTCAAATTAAGAAACATCTCCACTACCCTGTGGTTGATAAAGCTGAGCCACTCTTTGAGTTATGAATGTCCTCACTCACGCAGGATACAAGCGATGGAGTAAACAGAAATAGCTCCAGTACGCCCGTGCATCCGTCTCTGCGTGTGAGCGGTACAGTAGCTTGAACAAAGATAAATATATCTCAAACAAACTTGGGAAGTGATGTAACCCAACAAGATCTCGGTTCGATAATATCATCATTTCCTACCATATTCTGGAAAGTTATGCCCCCTTTCGTCTCTCTGGCAGTGTGGTCGTTAGCCTTGTCATCTTTCGTTATTTATGGATCCAGTTAGTACAGCAGAGTTAGAAAGTAAAGTCAGTACAGTCACTTCATACAGTCAGTTAACAATTACTTCAGTTCTGGTGCCCCTATTATAGAATGGATATAAATTCACTAGAGTCGGTGCAGCGAAGAATGACAAAAATGATTCCGGGACTTAGAAACCTTCCATATCAGGATAGGTTAAAGAAACTTAACTTGCATTCCCTAGAAAGACGAATAGTGCGAGGAGATATGATAGAAGTATTTAAGTGGGTGAAAGGAATCAATAAAGGGGATATAGATAAAGTTCTTATAATATCCGAGCAGGATAGGACTCGGAGCAACGGATTTAAGTTGGATAAGTTTAGGTTTAGGAGGGAGATAGGAAGAAACTGGTTCACAAATAGGGTGGTGGACGAGTGGAACAAGCTTAGCAACTTTGTAGTAAGTGCTGGAACTCTGGAAAGTTTCAAAAGGAGGCTAGATAGATTCATGGATGAGAGTGGTAGTAACTCTCGACAGGAGCTGCCATGCACAGGCCAACCGGCCTATTGCAGACTCCTTATTTTCTTATGTTCTTTAAATCAAGTCATACACCTGTGGGAGCCTTAAAAATTACAGGCTGCTCATTAATTCCAGCCCTCTACCTGGGAGTTCAGACACGTTTAAATCGCTGACTGAGGACGAGTCATTAAGTTAATGGCTTTAATGGCGTCGGAACTGCACTAAGACTTCCTCGTTCTCTTATATACAGTTATGGGGGAAAAATGCTATGAAACTCTGGAAATTCGATCTCTCTATCTCTGACCCCACACACACACACACAACCTGAATATATTAGATGACTTCGTTACAGTCAGTGATAAAACAAACATTAAAACAGAGGGAGACGAACACCAACACACAAACCAAGCGTCAACAAACAGAGTCACGTTCCAACAAAGACTGACAAACAGACACACAGGCTGGAGCGTGACCTGATGGCGTACAATGGTCGGTCGGGGACAAAGAAACAAAGAAAATACCAAGTAATTACTCACGTGAATTGGGTTGGATTTTGCGTGTGTGTGTGTGTGTGTGTGTGTGTGTGTGTGTGTGTGTGTGTGTGTGAGAGGGTGGGCAGCATTTGTGTAGGCCTACTGTAGGGAGAGAGTGGGCAGTGTGTGTGGGGGGGGCGTGTGTGTGGTCATGAAGGGAGGGAGGTGGTGGGGAGCAAGTGCATGGAGGGAAGAATGTGTGCGTGGTGTGGAAGGGAAGGGGAGCGTGCGCATTGGGGATGGGAGGAGGTATCGTGCGCATTGAGGGGGGAGGAGTTGGTAGCAGGTGCATGGCCGGGAGGGAAGGTGAAGGGAATGGAGGGTGAGGAGAGAGGGGAAACGTGTGTCTGTCGGAGGGGCGGGGAGAGGCGTGTTTTTGTGGCGGAAGGGACACTTGGGGTGATACTAATGATTGGGGAGGGGGGAGGGGGTGGGGGGGGGACGAGGAGGTAAAGTAGGAATGATGGTGATGACAGGAGTAGGGTGGGGAGCCGGAAACAGGAGAGGGTGTAGGGAGGTGGGATGGAGAATAGAGGGTAGGGGATGGGGGTGGAAACTAAGAGATGATAATGATGAGAATTAAGTGGTAGGGGAGAAGTGTGAAAACTAAGGGGAGACAATGACGATAATTAAGGGATGGGGGTGAAAGGGAGCGGAAGTGGCAGAAATTAGGGGAATAATAATGATCATAGTTAAGTGTCGAGGAGGGGAGATGAGGTAGAAGGGGAGGGGGGGACGAGGGGTGGAAACTATGGGGGTGATGATGGTGATGGTTAGGAGGCACTATTGATTTGCAGCTGTCCGTCTGTACTCTCTCATACTTCCACCCCACACAAGTTTGCTCAGCAGGATCGCACACGAAAAGTTACCAGAGTGGATCAATGATTAGTTTTTGGTGGGGTGGTGGACGTGTTTTGATGGATTCTCGTATCTGTGAGGATTCGATACCTTCACCACACCTCAATTTCTTCATATTATTGACCATGTGACGTACTTGAAACTCCTGTCCGATTTGCAATGATTCCTACGTTATTTTTTCCCCTGACTGTTAGATTATGTTAGGTTTGATTAGCGTATTTCAATCAATAAGGAGAATAAGCTAGGGTGTCTAATCTTTAGGTGATTCTTATTTTTTACACTATGGATGGACTCGTGGGAATAGTGGAGTTGCTAAAGACACTAAGATACTGATCATCAATCTCGTCCCGGGTCCTGTTACCTCATGACCACACGTCTCCCCCCCCATCAAAATTCATTATTAGTGGTACAGGTAATTTAGTTAACAATGTCAGACACACGCACCACCCCTCTATATAACCCCATCCGGTGCAGGAGTGAGGTGGGATATATAGGTATATTTGCTGGCTGCTTTAATCAACACACTTCCTGCCGTTTCTCAATGACTAACTGACGCTGTTTTTCCCCCGTGAAGAAATTTAGCCATCAAGGAGTCCCACACTAACGCATAAGTTTGTGTCACGTGTAAGTGTTAATTTTAGCGTTGTTAGAACTACTGTATGTGATAATTTCCTAAACATAATGTACCGTGTCATCAAGCCACGTGTAGAGTCGTGTCAATACAGTAGACAATCACAGTCACCCTCATCATCCACTCAGTTATTCTCTTCATTAACATTAATATTCCCTTATACTATCACCCCAGGCACGAGCAGTACCAAAAACGTTACCTCTCATGCTGTTCTAACCCGTAACCATGAGGCCTCAGAGGCG